TGGAGGCAGAGGCAGGTAGATCTCTGTGAGTTCCAGGCTAGCCTGGTCTACAGAGTGAGTTCCAGGACAGCCAGGGCTACACAGAGAAAATCTGTCTCAGGAAAAAAAAAGTATAAAATACTTGTTGCACAAGCCTGATGACAATTTGCTGGAACCCCTATGACAGTACAGAGAACAGACCAAAAGGTTGTCTTCTCACTTTTACATGTGCTGTGCCACCCATACATCACACGCTTTTATGCATTAGTTTCTAAAGCATTGATATGTCGTGTGTGTGTGTGTAGCAGCGTCTTGTGCACTGCTGTGCATGCTGCGCATGTTTATGAGCAAAATGCTACAATGGGAAGTGGAGCCTTTCAACAGAGCCTGGTGGCAAGATGCCCACTCAGGAGGCCAGGGGAAGAGGGGGCAACGAGGAAGAGAGAAGACATGGTGGTTGGTACTGCAACCTGGTAGCAGTCCCCCATCTCAGTCTAGACACGTCAGAGTAGGCAGGAAGGGCTGAGTGGGCGAGCTTCGTGCTTGTCAACATGTGCGGAAGACATGAGGGAAGACCACGGCATCAAGAAGTTGTGATTAAAGGGTAAAGAGGAAGCAGAAGAGACCTGCAAACAGCTCGGCATGTCTCCCATGTGCACAGGGAAGACAGCAATTCCTTTCCCATTTGCACAGTGCCAGAGGCACGGCTCTGTGGGGAAGGAAGCCAGGCACCCTGAGAACAGGAATTGTCCATCACAGCAACGATGCTGAGATGTGGTGAGGCCTGGAGGAGCTTCAGTGATGAAGTCTAGCCTGAGTCCAGACGTGCCAAAGTCAAAGCAATGGTGACCCTTTGATGCTCACATTAGTACTTAGAAAACTGAGGGCAGTGCACACCTTTAACCCCAGCACCCAGGAGGCAGAGGCAGGGGGATATCTGTGAGTTGTCCAGCCCTCTCTATAAAGCCAGTTCCAGGACAGCCAGGGCTATACACAGAAACTCTGTCTTGAAAATCAAAGAAAGAAAGAGAGAGAGAGAGAGAGAGAGAGAGAGAGAGAGAGAGAGAGAGAGAGAGAGAGAGAGAGAGAGAGAGAGAGAGAGAGAGATGGAAAGACCTAACAAAAAAAAAAAAAAAAAAGAAAGAGCCAGCGGTGGTGGCGCACGCCTTTAATCCCAGCACTCGGGAGACAGAGGCAGGCGGATCTCTGTGAGTTCGAGGCCAGGCTGGACCGATAGCCTCCAAAACAATACAGAGAAACCCTGTCTCGTAAAAACCAAAAAAAAAAAAAAAAAAGAAGAAAACTGAGGGAAGAAAGTGAAGGGGGGTTGAGGAAAGAAAAAAAAACATTTAGAAAATTCTCTGGAGCCAGGGACGCAGATGTGCGATGAAAGGTGACTACTTAAAAAGACAGTCACACAGAAGTAACTTGATTGCCAAAGCAGCAATCGTTCAGGTTCTGGGTTACCACCTTAATTCTACCAAGACTTTTCAAAAGTAGGTCCCGAGCTGGGAGATGGTGGTGCATACCTTTAGGGTGCTCCTATAGTTGGGTGGGGAAGCATTCATCATTAGTGTTGAGGACACCTAGTTTTGGCCACACAAGAAAGGATCAGAATACCACAGCTACTTCAGCCTTCTTTTTAGCCCTTCAGGAACCCAGTGGCTAGAAAAACAAGATGCTCATCAGAAACAGCGGTGCCCCCAGAGGCCATGGGGGGGGGGATAGAGAGACCACAGCAAGGTTGCTCTAGCAGCATCTTTATTTACAAACAGCAATTTCCATTGACTTTAGACCATAAAAAAGCCATTTACAAGCAAGAAACAATAATTCAGAACAAAATTAAGCAGCACTGAAATATTCATGTCACAAACCTAAAGCAAAATGAATACAAGAGTAAAATATCATTTGAATAAATAGTCTTCAATTCATGCTATAAAATAACCCTTAATGGCAAGTTACTAGTTGATACAGCATCCGCTTAGCTAGCTTCATTTACTTCATGTGGTGATGAAGTGTGGCATTGTGAGGTTACCAGTTTATATTGCAAGATAATGACACCATGTGAAGTCATTCAAATTGCTCAGTCATTTGTAACGGAAGACTGTGTTAGCCCTACTGCTAAAGTGGTAAGAGATGTTTCACATTGGGAAAACGGTCGTTCTCAGGGGAGGCAGGCGAGTTTACCTCAGGGCAGCAGCCTGGGACTTGATCTTCAAGTCCCGAGGCCGAGTTCACAGCATGCTTGTCACTGAAGGGCGGTGAGAGATCTGCGTGCTCAATCTGCCACTAAGCAGTGAACGAGGCTAACTCCAGTAGCTAATGAGGAGCAGCCATAGCCCTGTATGTGCCAGACCCAGGGATTGAGCACCTGGATTTGGCAAGTCCTGGCAGAACAGTGAGAACTCTGGCACTTACTGAAGACCACACATGTGACGACCATTACAAATCTGAACAGAGTGAATGACTTCGCTGAACTTCAGTTCAGCTGCACTGAGAATATGAAATCTATGATGTAAGAACTAGATAGTCTCATATAAAGAGTTTACATAATTCCCCAATACTTTCATATATAAAATTTAATAAATAACCCTGACCAGGCTAGAAGCACCATTCAAGGGGCATGAGCCCTTGGAAAATAGTTTAGATGTTGCATATTTGAGTCCCTTTCAGTGGAGGCTTCACAGGAAACCATTATAGAATTTAACAACAGTGATAACAAAAACATCACAGTAACAAGTGGAAAGCTTAAAATAAAACACATCAACCTAAAGTAGAGCTCATTCACATTGACCATTTCCCCTAGCCCTTGCTTTGTGTTCCTGCAAATTCTCCCCAGAATCTAGGCTGTTAAAAATTAAAATCACACACAAAAAATATGCAGGCTTATGGTCTGGGCTAAGGGTAAAACAAAAGAGGTGGTTATACTTGCTGTCATTAGAAGAGATGTGCACTTAAGCTCTGGAAAGATTTTTAAATTACCAATTTAGAGCTGGGTGGTGGTGGCGCACACCTTTAATCCCAGCACTTGGGAGGGAGAGGCAGGCAGATCTCAATGAATTCAAGGCCAGACTGGGTCTACAGAGTGAGTTCCAGGATAGCCAAGACTGTTACACAGAGAAACCCTGTCTCAAAAACAAAACAAAAATTACCAATTTAGTCGTACAGTATATTCTGCTTAACAGTGAACCGACAGTATCCTTTCTGCTGTTCAAAAAATAAAGAGAGGGAGAAAGAGAGGGAGGGAGGGAGGGAGGGAGGGAGGGAGGAAACCCACCAACAACAAAAAGTTGCCAAGGCGGAGCCAATTGATTGGAAGGCTTTTCCACTGAACAGGAAAATGAATTCATCTTTTTAATTGTATTTACAAATGGTTTCTAAATGTATTTACAGCTTTAGTAGAAACAAGAGGGCAGAGGACTGATGAGAAGAAACATAAGGATTGAAAACCACAAGTGTTAGCAAAAGTATAAAACGTTTTCACAGTTTGTGCAATGGGGTCAATGTCTTGGGAAGGAAGGGTGCTGTGGCTGTCTTCACATTGTCTAACACGGAAAGGTAGCTGAGAAGAGACTCAATTACGCACAGGCCTGTACGAAAGCAGGACATGTTTCACTGTAAAGGATGTCTTCACATATCGTTTATCTTAGTGGACTTCTGCATCTGCTATAGTGAGAGACCTAACCTACAACTGTACAGGGGACAGGTTTGCTGTCCACAAGGAGTCGCTCTAAGGAGTTACACAGTGAGCTTCAGGGAGAGAGGCCTGCTTGTGTGGCCAAGCTGGGTCTCCTGGTACATTCTCATGCAGTTAAGACACAACTGACCACTGCTGCCCTGTCTGCACGGAGAGCCCTGGGCAGCCATGCCCACCAGCAGGCACCTAGTGCGAGTGCGCAGACAGGCTATGCAGTGCGATGCTGGCCTGGACGCTGCCTCCCTCAAAGCCCTGTGAACTTTACAGTACTGTGTTATGGCTTGAGAATTCATTCTTAACACTGCTAGCAGTGGAGAAGGTAAAGTGTTAGCAACACGAATGGGAGCAAGCGCAACTTGCAAAATGCGGAATCATGATCATTAAAAACTCAAATTGGTTTTCTGCCCCTAACAGTCCCATTACAATGTTTGAACCTGAACTGTACAATCAAAGCAATGTATATTTTTGTCAAAGACAATTTTGGATAAGTCACTCTTTGGTAAACTCAAACCAGCTAACAAGTTGACAAACACAAGAACTACATGTACGTAAGTCAGACAGACAGTAACAAGAGCCAGGACATGGGCGTGCTGCCCGAGTGCGCCCCGCTAACCACAGAAAGCTCTGGAAGCATCTCAGAAGGCCCCAGGCCTAAGTGAAAAGGAGGCTCCTTCCCTGAGCTTGACGTCTCATGTCCTTACACTTGGGGCCTTTCTTGTCACAAACTTAATTGGCATCACGACACAAAAAAAAAGTTTTTACATTTAATTCTCAAAAAGAAAAAGCAAAACAAAATGCATTTGTGTAAGGAAAATGAAAAAAAATCACAAACATTTACCTGAAACCTCAGAACACACTTAAGTAGGTAAACACTTGGGGTCCATCTTTCCCTTGAGGCACTCAGCTTTCTCGGCTGAACAAATGCTTCAGGGACAGAAAAAACCCCGACTTAGGCAGTTTGACGAGGAAAAGGCATTCCGTATACCCGATTAGCAAGAGCTACTCCCGGGAGCAGCAGGATTAGTCATCTACAGGAGTTAACACTGAGGTGAGGCGAGCAGTTCACATATGAGCAGATCCTGTGTGCTAAGAAGGTGCCACCATGCGCACCGGGGCTGCTACACATGAGGAAAGGGAAGGGAAGGGCTGGAATCAACTTTTTCTCAAATAAAAAACAACAGAAAAAGACTCTGGTAGTGGTGTGGTGGCACATGCCTTTATCCCAGCACTAAGGAGGCAGAGGCAGGAGAATCTTTGAGTTCGAGGCCAGCCTGGTCACAGAGAGAGTTCTAGGACAGCCAGAGCTACACAGAGAAACCCTGTATCAACCACTCCAGCCAAAAACAAAACAAAACAAAACAAAAAAAAACCCCACCAACTAAACAAAACAAAAATACCTCCCCCCAAACCCATCATTCTTGGTATTTTAAGAGCCAAAAAAGCATGGCAAACCAGCAAACATCTATTTCTGTATTTCTTAGCTCCTAGCCTCTGAGGTGGTCCTCAGTTTCTGGGTTGGTTGTTTGTCTGAGTTTCAGAGCCCAGTACTCAGGCAGACTAGAGTACTGCTGTCTCTGCCGTCAGCTGCAAACCTGGCCTGTAAACTGCCTACGAAATCGCCCTCTCTGCCTGAGTCCACAGCACCAGAGCCATCTGTGAAGCCTGTTGGCGTATATGAACCTAACAGCAAACAGACATTTTCCAAAGCACTGACCAGACACCACTCAGACAGTAACCCGTTTGCCAGCACACGCTTTTGAGGTTTCTTTTCAAGCTGTGAACTTGAGAGGAAAGGAACTAAGTCATTACTACTGGTAGGTTTCACATTTTCTAGATGATACTGACCTAAAAGATACTTAACATAAAAAATAGCACCACGTGACCAAAAATGGTGAGACATACACACAAATTTGGTGACACACTGAGGATCTTTGAGGGTTTGACTTTTTTTCTTTAAGCAGGAAACACTGAGTATAGGAGCCACTGAGGCTCTCATTAGCACATACAATACTAAGATAGATATATTGCTTGCAATTCCCGTAGAGGATAGCTTTACAAAAAGTACAAATTCCAAGTTCTGCAGTTTCCCTGGGAACTGCATAGAAAAAGTTGTTGTGCACCTGAACTGGCTGTTTGAGGAGAGAGAGAAAAACCCAAAAGGAAACAAAACAACAAACCACAACACGACCTGGAGAATTCTGGAGGCAAGTGCTACACAAATTCCTGTCCTTTAGTAAGAGTACTAACTCACGGAGGAGCAATTTGATTTAGTTACCTGGTATGTATGCTTCTACAGTACGGAATGAAGGTAGATTTGTAGTAACCCTTGAAAACCACTGCTCCTTTGGGGTTGGCTAGTATAACACTACTCTGTGTAGAAAGGTCAGCACCACAGGTTGTCCAGCACACCTGGACAACGGACAAAAGTTCCAAATGGTTCCCACTACAGTTGAAGGAGTTTTATGGCATTTGGCTTATGTGTTTGTTATGAAGCAGAGCTACGAACACTGTGATTTGCTTTGCTTGCATTTGGACACAATGATTACTATACGTGAAAGTCTACTGACGTTCTTCTGTAAGGGAAACGCGGGTGGAAACTAACATAGTAGGCAGGGCTGAAACAGTCAGAGCTCTGCTCACATTGTATTAAATTATATATTCCTTACATTCACCTCAACCAGAATAAACCCAAATTTGAGAATTATATATACTATATATAATAACCACTTTATTATATATATATATAAATTGTCTAACTACCCCCTAAAAGAAGTTTTAAATATGAAAAGGTTACCCATTTCTATCAGCTGACGGCATCCAGCCTCTCTCCATGAAAACGCGCTGGGGCTAACACCCACAGTGAAAGAGTGTTTGCCTCTGGGCAGAGAACATGGGGTCAACCGGTTGGCATGGCTGAATCACTGGCAGAGTTGGGAGAGGCGTTCAGCCCAAGAGGAATACTGTCAGCCTGTGTTTCCCTGGATATGCTGCCCTTCATGCTTTGAGCTCCCTGGGGGAGGGGAGAGGGGAGGAGAGGAGAGGGGAGTAACCACAGGAGGTGCCACACCTGGAACCCTCAGAGAGACTACAAGAATCCAAGAGATTTCCAGATGGTGGGGGATCCAAAGATTACAACAAAGCAAATCTCAACTATGCATCGCCCGTGTGCTTTGCGCGGGCGCCCCTTCTCCGGCACCTCAGTCAGGCGCATCAGCTACTGTGTGGATTTCCATTCGGGAATCCAGAGCCATCTCTGAGGCTGACACGTCGCTTTCGAGTTTCTGTTCCATGTACACATCTGTTCTTTCGGGCGACTCCATGCGACTCCTGACCTCGGTGACCCCTGGGTGGTTTTTGCGCAGGTGCTGGTTGAGGGTGCCCTGGAACGGAAAGCATTTCCCGCAGACCTCACAGCGGAATGGTTTGTCGTCGGTGTGGCCCCGGATGTGGTACTCCAGCTGGTCCTTGCGTGTGTACTTCTTCCCACAGAACTTGCACACAAAGGGGGTGATCCCCATGTGCAGTCGCATGTGCCTGTCGAGGCTTCCCTTCTGGTTAAAGGACTTCCCGCAGTAAATACAGATCAGCCTCTCGTTGTATGGGTACCAGTAGCCCCTGGCACCCCTCTCCCGGGGACTGCTCTCATAACTGGGATTGTTCGTCATGGCTTCACTGTCAGACCCCTGCACCACACCCTGCGGGTCACTGTGCAGGTGAACAGACATAGCCCGCTTCTGGCGGGCACCCCGGCCTCGGAAGCAGCTCAGCATGGACCTGGATGGACTGGAATTACTCTGACCTCCAAAAGCTTCTGGCCCGCTGGAAGGCTGTGAGGCTGCCTGGAAGTAGGGATACGTGTGCTGGAGCACAGAGCCATAGGCACCCACGTTCACAGCCATAACTTGTTCCCCATCAACCATCTCTGTGTGGTAGCCGTCATCACCCAAGGAAGAGCTGTCGGAACAACTGGGTCGGTCAGACTTTTCCATCTTCACTTTCACCTCAGTGATCTGGCTCTCCCTGACCAACAAGTCCCCTTGCTCGTGGTCCCCTTCAATCTGAATCTCATACTCAGACACGCTGCCACTGCTCCCCCGATCTGAGTGCCCCTCTTCCTGTAAGCGGCTTCTAAGGGCTTTGTTGGGGGTTGTCTCCATCCGGAGATCGCTGCTTACTGGAGGCTGCCGTACCTGAGAGCAATATGGAGGGGAGATCTCAACAGGACTGGCAAAGAAGCTGCCATCTTTCACCCCATTCTGGCTTTCGGGATTCTCTTCAGCACCAATGGTGACAGAGTCAACATCTCCCACGCTGATCTTTGAGTGGATGCTCTCCAGGATCTGCGTGCACTTGTCAATGACACACTGCATCTGAAGAAAGCTGGCTGCGGTCAGAAAACTGACAACATCCTTCAGCTGCAAGGACATTCTTCCAGTGTAACAGAAGGAGAGCAACTGCTCAAACACACTGGGGTTCTTAATCACAGATATCGACAAGCCACTCATAGTGCTCAATGCTGAATGGTCCCGAAAGTATGGGGAGCTGGCAGCGAGGACGGCTTTGTGGGCTCGGAATGGCTGACCCTGAATGTGGACGATGATGTCACATAGCTTCCCTTGCAGGCGGAGCTCATTTAGTTGGCTCAGAACGGTGCTGCTGTGCTCGGGCACATCGAACTGAATGAAACTGCTGCTGTCCATTTCTACTGACATGGGGCGTAATCTGCAGAGACAAAGAGCATCCGTAATTCGCCAGAGCTCCTCAGCAAAAGCAAGCAGCGTTACATACGAGCTCACATCAACTCCACAGCTAGCACTCCTAAGGTCTGCCTTAACATTCTTCCTCTTGCTTAGCTTTTATCTTCCATTTTTCCATTAATTCACCTAAAGCCAAATAAGTGAATGATCAATCAGTCCAGTGTCATTCTTCTTGCCCAACACTCAACTTGATCACAGAAAAGCATTGCATGCACAGGAGTGCTGGCTCAGCTGACGGAAAGTGGCACCCTTCAAGAATAATTATCCCCAGATGGTCCTGGTGCACTCCAGAGGAGAGACAGGAGCATCTCTGTGAGTTCAAGGCCAGCCTGGTCTGTTGAGCAAGTTCCAAGACCAAGACAGCCTCCAAAGCTACAGAGAAACCTTGTCTCGAAAAATTTTTTAAAAAAATTAGCATTCACCTGCTGCTGAGGGTCTCTGAAGGACTCTATGAAAAATGTTCCAATTCATATACAAGACATCCTGCCTTGTATATGGTTTCTGTACACAGCGTGTGAGCAGGAACATGTGTGTGAGCACGTTCATGGAAGTCAAAGGTCAACACTGGCATCTTCCTTCTCTCTCTTATATTTTGAGAGTAGTCAATCTCTCACTGAGCTGGAAGCTCACCAAGTGGCAAGTCTTGCTGGTCAACATCTCAAAATTCATCTGTCTCCAGCCCAGAGTACTGGGATAACAGACACACGTCTCCAAGGCCAGTCTTTAAATCTTTATTGTTTGTGTGTACAGGTGTTTTGCCTGACTGTATGTCTGTGTACTATGGACATGCAGTGTAACTGAGTGTCGAATCCACTGGAACTTCAGTTATAGATGGTTGTGAGCCACCCTGTGGGTACTGGGGATCAAATCCCAGTTCTGAACTCTCTTACAGTCCCAGGGTTTTTTTTCTTCTTCCCATTTTATTTATTTATGTCTGAGGTGCCAAAGGCCATGCGGAGGCCAAAGAACAACTTTTGGGAGTTGATTCTTTCCCTCACAAGGTCTGGGAGATCAAACCCAGTTGCTGAGTTATGTCACTGCCCTCCTTGCTTTTGTTATATGAGTACTAGGGATTGGAACTCAGATCCTCAGGCTTGTACACACACACTTTACTGAATAAGCCATGTCTCCAGTGACCACTCACATACTTTAATTGGTATTTTTCAAAGTCCAACAACCCCAACACAATGAATGGAATAAACTCCTTTCCAGTGCAATCATGATTCGGGCTTTCCTCACATGCTCAGTCCTTTGCAGGGAAGAGTTATTTCAGGCAAAAGCAAGAAGAGTGGTGGGCACACTACAAGTCAGGACCTCCAATGATAGATACTCAGCACTAGCACACTTGGGACAGCTCTGCTCCCACCACTCCTGACCTGGGATCTGCAGCAAAGAACCACTCCAAACCACTGACGGGCCGGGCGGTGGTGGCGCACGCCTTTAATCCCAGCACTAGGGAGGCAGAGGCAGGTGGATCTCTGTGAGTTCGAGGCTGAGCTGGTCTACAGAGCGAGTTCCAGGATGGCCTCCAAAACAATACAGAGAAACCCTGTCTCGAAAAACCAAAAAAAAACCCAAACCACTGACGGAGCTGGTGAGATTGCTCAATGGGCAAAGGCCCTTGCCACCAAGCAAGACAGCCTGAGTTCAATTTCTCAGGACCCACACCATAGAAGGAGAGAGATCAATTCCCCAAAGCTGTCCTCTAACCTCAAGTGCACTGTGGTATACGTGTACACACATGTACACACACACACACTAGCTAAGGTAAACAAGAGACTAGAACTAGCAATTGTAATTTTGTTTTAAAATCCACCCAACAGATTTTGCTTTTTTGAGATGTCTGGCCTCCCCCTCCAGCTCTTCCCGAGTGCTTAGCCTGTAGCAGTGTACCATCACCCCCGACCAACCGACTAAGAACTGACTGGAGAACAAGTCTGTGGGTCTCCAACTTACTTGGACAGACAAATGACAAAGCAAACACAGCAAACTTAACAGTGGCACACAGTGGTCACAGGGTTACTGTGGAACCCTGTCAAGTTTTCTGCAGCTTTTCACAATAAAACATTGAGGTTCAGAAAGCATCACCTACAACAGAAAAGTACAAGGGAAGTCGGGGACTTAACAATTTTATCTTAAACAATAAATAGTGAAAATAAGTGACTCAACTAAGGAGGCTAGAAAAACAAAGACAAAAGCAAGCAAAGTAATTCAATAGCATATAACCACCAAGGGAAAAAAATAGGACTGTAAGTCTTAACTCTAAGATGCTTGCAGGAAAAGATCAGTTAATTTGACTGGATCACATCATAATTTTCAATCTTGTCAGAATGAGTTCAAACATTTTAGTCAAAGAGGAATGTTACGCTTCTATTTATCCTAGACTTCTGACTGGAGTCAATTTAAAATCTGCATGAGATGGACATATTTTTAGGATAACATAAATTGGCAGAACTAAATGAGAACGACACAGAAGTGCCAAGGCACAAACGCTCTCCAGGCCGTCCCCACTGTGTAGCCGCAGGAGGAGACATGGATGGAGGCGTCTCAGTGCACCTGGTACAAAGCTGACAGGATGGTGAGCAGCGGGAAGAAGTCTGTCTCATCTAAGGCACTGAAGGGCCTCTGCAAACGCCAACAATGAGGAACGACCAGCTAAGGTTTGAGCATTGCTAAGATTACCCATGGCATCAGAAAGTCAAAGGAGAAACACGCTCAGCTACATCAACATTACGCCAAATTCATCTCAGAAGTAAACACCCATTCAGAGTAAGAGAACAGCAGCCCAGTAAGGAAGAAATAGAACACTACTCTTAAAAACATAACAAACAGTATCTACTGCAAAGCAATGACATCATCCTTAGAAAGATTCATTCTTTTCCCAAAATATATTCAACAAAACATGTGCTAGCCCCAACATCCTTACCTCCTAAGGATTAAAAATACATTAGCATAATAACCCATCTGAAAGGGTTTTGCAGACAGCATTCTGTTTAACTCAGCAGTTTGCAAACTCATTTAACTGTGGAACTCTCCTCTCAAGGTATGACATTAGCATCCAAAGGAGCAGTGCTCCCTAGAGCACATTCTGGTAAACACTCCAGCTAAGGCATCCCATTAGGGCTTCTAGGACAGGCAAGGCTTTCTACCATCACTATCCTTTCTTTTCTCCTTCCTTTCTTTGTATTTTGAGACAGGGTCTCTCTATACAGCCCTGCTGTCCTGGAACCCACTATGCAGACCAGGCTGGCCTCAAACCCATAGAGATCCATCTTTCTCTGCCTCTTGAATACTGGAATTAAAGGTGTGCACACCTGGGTTAGTCATAACCATTCTTAACATTGTTGTGTTTGGAACCCTGAGCTAAAGCAGCAAGGGAAACTGAAGGCACACAACCATTTAAGAAAAGATGGAAGACCCAGGCGTTGGTGGCGCACACCTTTAATCCCAGCACTCGGGAGGCAGAGGCAGGCGGATCTCTGTGAGTTCGAGGACAACCTGGTCTACAGAGCGAGTTCCAGGACAGACTCCAAAGCGACACAGAGAAACCCTGTCTCAAAACAACAACAAAAACAAACAACAACCCAAATCCAAAAAAAAAAACAAAAACAAAAACAAAAAACAGAATTACTGGTTACATGCAAATATTGACTATTTAAACAAAATCCATAAGCGATCACTTGCTGTTTTGTCAGAATGAGGTACAACCAGCAATACAGCAGCAAGGAGTTATAAGAAATCTGGGGCCATAAATAAAATGGGCAAAATGAAAAAGAAGGCTTTATCTTTTTTTACAGTGTACACGAGTGAGTGTGTGTGTGTGTGTCTGGGTGTATATGTGTGTGAGTGTGTCTGGGTGTATATGTGTGTGTATGTGTGTGTGTCTGGGTGTATATGTGTGTGAGTGTGTCTGGGTGTATATGTGTGTGAGTGTGTCTGGGTGTATATGTGTGTGAGTGTGTCTGGGTGTATATGTGTCTGGGTGTATATGTGTGTGTGTGTCTGGGTGTATATGTGTGTGAGTGTGTCTGGGTGTATATGTGTGTGTGTCTGGGTGTATATGTGTGTGAGTGTGTCTGGGTGTATATGTGTGTGAGTGTATGTGTGTGTCTAGGTGTATATGTGTGTGAGTGTGTGTGTCTGGGTGTGAGTGTGTGTCTGGGGGTGTGTGTGTGTGTGTGTGTGAGTGAGTGAGTGTGGGGGTGGGGGAGAAAGAGAGAGAATGAGAGAACACGAATGTGGTAGTAAAGGACAACTTGTGGCAGACTTTTCTCTCCTTTCACCATTGGATTCCAGGTACTGAACTTAGGTCACCAGGCCTGGAACAAGCGCCCCTACTCACTGAGCCATCTCACTGGCTTACTATCTTAATAAGGATTTTTTAATAAGGGTGAATGAAGAAACACATCCTGGCTGTAAGATAATGCTACAGAGATGAATACTGTCTTCTAAAATGAATTCATAAATATAATGTAGGCCAGTGGAATTTTTTGTTAAGTTTCTTTAAAAACCAATTTAAAGCCAGGAGGCAGTAGCACACCTTTAATCCCAGTACTCCGGAAGCGGAGGCAGGTGGATCTCTGAGAGTTTGTAGCCAGCCTGGTCTGCAGAGCATTCCAGTCAGGGCTATACAGAGAAACACGGTCTTGAAAAATAAAACAAAACATAACAAAAGAAAAAAAGCTTAAAAATGCATCTATTCTAGAACATTGGTGTCCAATATAGAAACCACATGTGTTTTCTAGTGGTTACCAATCCTCCAAACAAGCCTCCCCCAACCCCCCCCCAGAGCTAGACACAGCACCCAGAGCCTTGAGCACTACTAAGTGAGTCTCCACTGCTGTACAGCTCCCTAACCCATCTAGCAGTTATGCTTGTGAGGTAAATAACAAACAACAACAAAAAACATTTGAGTTAGTCCAATAGAGCAGACGTTACCACAAGGTGGTTTTTTTCTTTTTATTA